GTTCTCCGACTAGTGCGTTCTATATATATATATATACATATTACGACTAAGCTGACTTTGTCATTCTGAAAGCCTATGGTGGTGGGTTTATGCAAATTAATACTTCTCTCTTCGACCGTATACCAATAACCTCTGTGTAGTCCTGTCAGTACATCTGCTCAGAGGAAATTCTTGCTATATATTTTCCATGTGTATCCAGATATCAATATTCATCGAAATGACTAGCCTATTTTGTCAACCGCAACAATACTAATTTTCCTATCAAGGAACTTGAGTCACGAACAGGTCATAACTGTATTGTACCGCCAACTAAGAAAATATCAGATATCGACCTGCGGCGGGAAGTTAGTCAGTAGCATACAGCCCGTGTTTAATTCAAAGCGTTGACAGAAGTGGTCCTAAATACGTTTATCACGCTCGAAAGTCACATCGCACAGCAATAAACGGTCTTAGCGAAGCGCTGCTGTAAAAATACTGGCTGAACGACGAATGGCGCAAGGCGATCCATAGTAGTCCGCCCACATTTCTGATTGCCGCTCTAGCAAATGTAGTAAGAAGCGACAGACCAGAAAGCTCTTCCGTGGGTTTGTCGCCAAGCCAATTGCTATTAACACTGGCACACTACGAAGCTCATTTTCCATTCTGGGCATATTTCCACCGCGTATATTATTGCCATCTCATCTCGCAACAAATCTATTGTTATACACGCGTGATATTGTCAGTGCCTATCACCACCCACAACTTCACTAACAATATCAGCATAATTCTATATGGACCTGTTCCCCTTGCCTTACGTGGCCCATTCAGTTGCACATATGATTACATTGCACACAAACTGGGAATTGATTCCCTTCTAATAGATTCAAATATCGTTCTAACACCTCATCCTTTAGCACTCTAGCTAATGAAGTACGAGCTCCGCAGAGTACAGTCATGTGAATACATAATATCATTCTTGTCGACAACCACTATTTTTAATTTATAAATGCCATGCAGCACGAAGTGTATTTACCGGGGTAGTAAATATTTACATATTGTTTGTTCAGACCTAACATAAAAACAAAAAAAATTGCCCATCGGGGAATCGAACCCCGCCCTCATGCGTGAAAAGCATATATCCTAGCCGATAGACGAATGGGCGATGTTTCATGTTCGATATTTGCGTATATATATATTGTGATTTCAACTAATTGATGCACACTGTAAGTTATTTTTGAAAATATATCGCTTGGACGAGCACATAGCCTTCTGTTTCAGAAGGCTATTTATGGGACGAGCCACATTTTTACATTATCTCGTGCACATACAATTTAGAGAGATCAATTTAGAGAGATACTTATATTTTTTTCAACACAGTACAAATTTGAACAGCTTTTGGCAGTCAATCTCTTGTCATAACGCCGCTTATCTGAGACATTTTAACTAACAAATTTTGACTTCGGACCACTTGCCAATTTCTCTACCGCAATTTTTGGGTTGTATTTTATAATTTTTTTTGAATGGTATAAATGGGAACATTCAGAACTTTTTGAATGTTCGCGTATGTATTTGCTATACTCTCTATGCATACTTTAGATCATTCTCCGAATGGGGAAAAAAAGGAAAAAAGGAAAAGAGGAAACCTGCCTTATTAAGCCATACAAATCAAATTCATCGTTCCTTCCCGAACCTTGCGTAGTTCTAAAGGGTTACCAGGCTTCCAATTTAATATCAATGCTTTAATATCAATATTTCAATACAACGATAAGGATATACGCGACTTCAGAAACGACTTCGAGTGGTCATTTATGCAAACCTCTGGATATAATTTACACCTAAACAGTAATAAAAAAATGAAGTCCTGGTATAATGATGAGTGACAAAACCGATTGAACTTGCTTGGTTCCTGTCGTTTTTTAACCTTCAAAAATACCCTATATGCCCTTTCTCGACAAATTTGAACAGCTCCTATGTATTTCCCCATTCAAATTGCGCCTCCCTGTATTTGTCGCGAAAGATATGCTTCGTGATATTGGCAGTATAATTTATGAATCTAGTAGCAGTGAAAGAAATAATCATATTCGACATATATTATGTCTCGTATAGCCCATTCGTCTATCGGCTAGGATATATGCTTTTCACGCATGAGGGCGGGGTTCGATTCCCCGATGGGCAAGTATTTTATGCTTGGCTATTTGAACAAGTTAGACGACACATTTTCGAGCCTTGATTTGCCCCGATGGACTGTGGCCATATTCAATTTCCTAATTTCCCAATTCTTTAAGGCCAATTTCGAGGAACGGGTGACCATATCCTATTTAACTCCGTTCTTGAGGTGTAGTACAAGCAGAGATCAAGTAATCAAAAGCGGACTCTGTTCATGATATAAAACAAGTCCATCGGGGCAAATCAAGGCTCGAAAATGTGTCGTCTAATTTGTTCAGACAGCCAAACATAAAATATTTGCCCATCGGGGAATCTGAATAGCTATAGCTATATATATATATATGTTTCAAATTAAAATAGGCGCTACAGTCGCCACCTCCATCATTGCACGTGTCGCTCACGACCACAAAAAAAGTTATGATTGGTCGCGACAACGACACTACTTTATTGAATGAACTCTCACTCTCATAGTGTCCGAGAAGCCCCCCAAAACCGATATATTCAGCTTCAGCCTTCAGATCGTTGTCCATGCTGGCACGGGCATGGCATAGTATGTTTACTTGACCAGCTTAAATAGCATCTTACATGCTCATGAACTGCCAAATCGGACCCATATACAGCACTATTCGAGCGCACTTAGAATCAGATACACAGCCCAGGCTCCGGGGTCAGGAATACCCTTGAGATCGTGTGTGTCTCCCAAGTACGCGGCCCGACCATCGGTAGCGGTTGACATTTCTTTTGTCGATTCCGCTCCAGCTTTTGCTGCCTGTAAGTGTGCGCGTGCGGATTACGCAAATATTGGGGTTGAAAACTTGTGTGGTATTGGCTGAAGGGTATGGGCTCTCATAGTGAATAGCGCAGAAGTGATGAACCGCATGTCCTTTTTAGAATTGAGCATACGGTGCTGTGAGATTTAGATGTTATACAAATGTGATCATAGATGAAAACATGATCCTCTCCACACATGTATACTCATCCACTTTTTTCAGCTAGCATTAACCGTGATACAACAAGCACATGTTCACCGCAGAGGCACCACACCACTCGTGCACTATCTCCATATTCAAAACTGCATGCAAGATGTATTATTCACGAACCTTAGCCATGCCATTGATTCCTTCCGAAGCGGCCTCAGACGCAGGGACGAGGGCATCCACCAGTGTGCGAGACCCCACCTTTGCCCGACCGTGTTTTGTGATGCTATCGCAACCAGCTGCGAAATAGGAATATATACTTGTCAATACAAATGGTTGGATATGATACAAGCATACACTTTATTGTTTAACTGTATTTAGCTACATTGTTCTGGGATTGTCATGTTTTAATCCCAAAAAATATCAATACACCAAATTTAACGAAGATAGACATCACAACCACCGTACATCCATTGTGCGCGTCCTAAATTCGACTGGCTAAAATGACATCCCTGCAATTTCACTTACACAATACAAACCTCAAGTGTCCTAAGATCATGCTTGTGAGCGGTGAGAACGCATATAAACTATGTTCTAAAACGATACCTAGAAGATAGCGTGAACATGAATACCTTGAAACCCTGTGGCGAGTGCACCATCCGATCCATTCTCCTGAATAGCTGCAGCAGCAGCACTGAAGAAAATAGCAGACAGCACTCCAATCGTACCACCCACAGATCGACTTATGGTTGTTGCTACACCCTGATTACGTTGCCAAAGTGAATGAGTACACTATAGCCTTTCGCGTACTTATAAAGCTTTTATAAGAATTAACTGATACAAGGATAGCGGTATATATTGTACAAAAATACAAATATTTGTAGCTCAATGCAGTTTCTTGATACGAACTGGATTGCATTTGCATTGGATGTTTTATGTATATACATGCAGACGTACTATCTATATGAAGTGGTCAAAATTCACGCCGGCTCTTGTGTGTGAAGTGCTGTAGAATAACTTTAACTTGGCATGGAATTAGCAGAAACAAACTGTCATGCCATCATATAGCAAATGTAAATTCATTGCATGTAATATATTCATAATATTACATATAATTGTATTGAAGTAGAACGCAATGTATTAAAAAAAAACAAACTATACATATACATACATACACGCCAGAATACCAATATTCACTACATACGTTACACAAAGCCGCCGGACCGTCCAAATACGAGTCCAAATCCTTGAGAACTGCTTTTGCACCTTTGCTGATACTTTCGCCACAATCTCCATCTCCGCACTGTCGAAGTGATAACACATGTGTGAGAACGTTTGCCAGTTAACAAGCTCCTGATACAGTCTTCGAAACATATTTTACCTGACTAGTAACATTAAAATTATGGATTGTTAAATTAGGATTTGTGTGCCACTATCATCACGTGATGTCGATCGGGAGATATGGTGTAATAGCTGGGGAGGAAAAGTCAGCAAAATATCCATGACACAAGTCAAATAGGCTCGTTACGACCAAAGAAAAAACGAAGCACATACCATTCCAGACACACTGCGACGCGAGTTTTCGCCACTTGCATCTGATCCGAAAGTCACTAACAGAGACCCAAAAACTAATTACATTTGTCCATAATTTGAGCATTACCAACACACTGGCTCCCTTTGCGTGTTTCACCTAACATTCATCTAGTGCGAAAGTCGATAAGAGGGGCCTAGAGTCTAATTACATCTGACAACAATTTAAAGTACATAAATATATGTATATATAAATATATATAACTGCAAATTTTTAAAGGTATTTATGTGCACTTACGATTGTATCCCACTTTGTGAGCTGGGCCTCGTTCTCGATCAAGCTGTGCATAGCACGCTCTATCTTCGCCTTAATGTCGCTGTTGAGCTTATCTGCTGACGAATTCTCCGCCGCAAACTCGGACGCCTTGTGTTCGTGCAGTGCCTTCGCGTTGGAGCTTTGGAATTTCTTATACTGTCGGACTGTGCGTAGCGCAAAATAATTAATTTCGGTAACGAATCGGAATGTTATAGTAGATATATATATATAACATTTAAGCACCCAAAATAACCTTACCCTTTTTCGGGGTTGACTGATTCTGCCGTCACACAAGTCCAGCTTAATGTCTAATGTGCTCAAAACTATGAGAGGACAACAAGTCCGGCATATTTGTTTAGTGATTTGTCTGTCATAGCTACATGATATACAGACGTACCACCAAATACATAAGTGCTAACTAAATAGAAGTACACACACGAGCTATCCACTCCTTGACTTAGCTTCAAGTGCTTGCGCTCGCAGAGCGAGTTGATACAGAAGATACACCTATCGAGACAAGCAACTAGCACGGCCTCTACCATTTGTGACAACTGGGAAAAAAAACACTCGGGGAGTTCACCTAGCTTTAGATACACACATACCATTGGATGTGAACAGATACAAACAATATTAGACATACCAGGTACCCATCCAACGGCATTCGTTTCAGCTTCTAGCGCTTTCGTCCACGTGGGATCACAGATACGCAGTAAACTGATACTAAAGCCACACATATCCAGACTGGTGACTAGCGCACCCTCTACCACGTGACTGACAGAAATAGAGGCGTCCGTTAGCTGCCTCGATACCTCACCGAAAAGATATGTCATCTCTACGCGCGACACTGACCCCAAATTGTTGATCAGCAGGCAGAAATCCTAAGAATAGTGAAGGTATGTACACACGTTATCTTGATCGCAAATCATTAACTCGGGAGTTTGAATTTAGAACACAATTTCAAAAGAGACTCACACATCTAAATAAATCACAAAATACTATTTAGATTTAACAGACGTACAAATTTAGTAGTACAACTCAGCAGAGAAAACGAACTCAATTACAGATTGTTAATCCATACCAATAAAGACCGTAAAGAAAATCCCAGATGATATGGCTTGTAAATATATAGTGGTAATTATGAAGAATATGCTAATTATTATTCCTCAATACTTCAGCAGCCTCGCTACACCGCTCACTAATTCCTTTGCTGTAGCTCAAAGTACCACAACATAACATATCGTAATAAAATATAGAACAACAAACAGACACAAGCGGACATCGACACCACACATACCAAAAATAAAACGTACATACGCCGCCAAGTAACATGGGAATGAGCAAAGAACACCGTCAGTACCATGCTTCTTGACCACCTTTTTCAGTAGCGACTGGAGCAGACCAGATCAAAATCTGGATCTCGTGTTCAGCATAGGGATAAACAATCAAAGGTACTATCATAATTGGGGTTTGACTACCGACCCATGTTCACAAACGTACATGTATAAGCGTATCCGCAACGAAACAACATACGTCCTTGCTATCGCCTACTACTTTCAATAGCGGCGTCAGCATACGCGCCACTATATCCTTGGCTGATTCTAAATCGACTGTCTCTCTCCCGGCTTCGCCATGAATACCAAGACCTACAACAAGAAATCAATTCCAATAAGGGACATAGATTTTGTGTAAATATACACGCACAATTTACGTTCGTGTCTCGCAGTCTAGGCTAACATTCATATACTGGACGTTCATAAAATACAACATACCAACCCAACTATTTGATGCAATATATTGAGGCATGTTCAAACACATAATCGATCGGAACTACGAAGCAAAACGTTAAACAATATTACATTTACTAATATGTGCATGAATACCTACCGAGTTCGTACACATTGCCATCTAAGCGTTCGTCTCTTGTATCACGCCCAGGGATGGTGCAGGTGGTTAAGGCAGCACCAATGGACCGAACTGAATTGGCAGCTTTTTCCGCATTCGCTTTCACTTCATCGAGAGAAGCTGTCACAGGTGTACAATGAATTTTCGCGTGAAAAAGTGTTGCAGTTCTAAACATCAACTACAAACGCATCTCATATAAGATGACTGGATGGCCGGGAGCGACCTACCAAAGTTGTGTACGTGTGAGCGATGCACAATGACTACAGTCGATACGATTATGAGCGACGATGGACATAATTAATAACCACAGTCGGTAGCGCTGGGTCTGACCACAGATGACTTCCTTCAGATACAGCTACATACTCGCGTCCATAAGTCATACCAACAACCACAGGCCTATCACATATGATCGACAAATTATAAGTTCACACTACAACCTTACTAGTTCGACATCATTTAGATAGGCATACATATAAAAAACAGGTACATTCGTACATCCATACCTCCTGTGGCTGCGTAGTAGGATGCCACCTTGTGCACCAAACATGTGCCAGCGATACCACGTGGTTGCGGCACACCGTCTAACGCCACATCGTCTTCAACAGTCACCACCTGCGCAAAGTGGTCAGTTAAGTTATCAACCTGGTACATAATATATAAGTGCAGTGAACTAGAGCGGAACACTGTACTGGTGTGTATCACTATTACACAACAGCTATTAAAAGACTCAGCATTTTGATGTTCTGTTTATTTGATTGAAATATTCGTTACATGCTTGTATTTCAACTCTTTTTCTTTCCTGTCAATCTGGCGTACACTGTAGGCATACATACGAACCCTACTCTACACATGGGGTCAAGAAAAAAACAAAACAAGATGGACTATTGCCAATAAAAGCATAAGATAAGCCTGCCCTTATTTTTAGTGCGGAATCGTACTGATTAAACATCTGAAGCACGTAGGATATGCTAGCATCGCATCGAAGTGAGACACGCCTTTTTACACGATTCCTGCCCTATATAGCAACAAGTTTAATTTAACCGATACTAATATTTCTGCACACACCTCTACTTTTTTCTGGTATAAAGCACGGGCTCGCTCAGCGGCCAAACCAAAGTTCAGACGGTCGCCAGTGTAGTTCTTGACAATCAGCAAGCACCCTGATTTTATGTGATTTATTGAATATACACGCACCTAATTAGCCTATAACCATGCAACTCTAATTTTCTGTAGTGTCGATTAACTGACCTGCAAACGCCATACATATGAAATACGTTTGGAAAGTTCTGCTCCGGAATTTTACAACCAGCTTGTAATTAAAATGGGACGTATATGTACAAAAATGTCTTTGTTATCAATTTGTGCACCTTGAGTTCATTACAACCAGCACGCACACACATGCACACATGGAATGCCATAACAAAGAAATTGCAATAAATCCTGCACATGCAGATCGAGGGTCTCATTTTCGATAGGTATATACTGAAGCGCATGTGGTGGTGACGTAAACAGAATTTTCATTAGCGTGCTATCACTTGTGAGGTTTGGATATACTCTGTCAGACCTGTGGCCATAGATTGACAATCAGCACGTATATTTTGATAGACGCAAGAACGTACATCAATATTCGTCTCTATTCTTGGGTATACATCAAGATGCTCATTTTGTACCTCGCCAGTACACATGGAAACTAATTGACTTGTACGTCGACTTCATCTGCAACCATTTGGAAAATCAACTGCAAGACTGCTAACACGTTTGTATGCGAAAGCATAATCGAGCACAAATACAGTATCTTCAACTGTACACATTGAATTCGTATACATCATCACTCTGGTACGGATATTTGCTTTGCCACTCTATCACACCAATAATATTTTCATGAGCAATACACATTCGATGAGACTTGTGCATACATACATTCGCACTAGTGTATGACAATACATACCTCCCTCCCCAGTCACCGCCAATATGGCCTGTAACACAGCCTCCACAGTCGGCGATGCAAAGACTGTGAGCATAGATGAAAGAGCGGTTGTCAGAAAGTGTAGGTACAGAATTCATTTAGTCCACGGATAAAAACAAATTTAAGAAATCGCTCGATGCAATACCCTTAAGGAGTGTAAAGGTAATGACTATCTCAGTACATATACCGGTTATACACGTATGATATGTAGGAAATTATCGAATCATTTGATTGTCCACCTTCGTGTTGGTTTAGTGTTCTATGATAAAAATCTAATGATCGATGCTAGCATGAGTGATGATATACTTTATCCTTTGACTTTCTCATCGCAGCACCCCACCGTTCTATCGAAATCGAGCATATTCATAGACAAAAAAAACATCATTCAAGTTCATAAACTCGAGGGTTTCCAGAGCTGATGTTGTGGTTTTGCGACACTACTGTCAGTTATTCCCGTACTACGAAATATATATGGAGAGAATGAAAATATACAAGTAATGTCAATATATTGTGCCAAACATACATTATTCATCATCCGACAATGTAAAGAATCGACTGAATCAAGCTTGAACCACCACAGGGGCTCACTTAATTGTTCCCCACACAGATGTAACTCTCTCCACTTCTCCCCACACAGGTATGAGTCGCCGCAGCCAACTGAGACTACAATCACACTTCACCAGATATACCCACGAGACAACCCTGAACCACGGTTGCCACAATGTGCCAATAACCTTCCAACTATACAAGTGGGAATATACTCGAATGATACAAAGTGAAACAGACCGTCGCCGCATACAGCCGCGGTGAGGAGAGATGTGCCAACAAAGCCGGCGTGCGCAGGTTCGTGCCCTGATCCTCCACCGGAGATGATTGAGACCTTTCCGCAGTCTATTACCTCCTTCTGATAGTCACTCCTGAAGATGTGAATATACATACGCATGTGTTATTTGCAATATATGTATATAAATATTGCTCGCAGGTACACATACAAACTGCACGTATCACACACAAATAAACACAGTGCTGCAGTCACACAAGAATATCCACACAGATGTAGCCGCACGTGTACGGTCTGTAGGTGTTTTGCAACAGTACGCACAAATTGATATGTCGTATACAATACGCTCAAAACTATCGCATCATTTGCTATATTCGAAGGATACCTCGAGACCACCTTACAGCTGCACTACAATGTATAAAAGTCATCTACCTATATTCGAGGTTATATGATCCTAATCATATCTCTATTAAAAGTAGAATGGTACTATAGATCTATTGGCATCATTTTTAGTCATAGCATCAACGAAATACCTTAAAACAACCCTTACAGCCTGTTCATAACCAGCTAAGCGTGTCAACTGGCCGCTCGAAAGTTCTATGAGTCCATCAATAGCGCCTTCCACCAGTTCCTGTCCTGGTGCATTCACAAACGACTTTGCTAAAGACATGATTATTTACTTAAAAAACGTATGTCTGTTCAAATTCGTACGATATCTTGCCGTATTTATATTATGTATAAATCAAGTGTATTGTATTTTGATATTTTAAATTTGGGTCGATTGTTTGTGTTCGACAATTCGATGTCGGTGTTTTACCATGTGAAAATGTAGTAGTAGTTTGGTGTACGACTGTACGTAGACTGTAGGATTGTAGGGTCTATCCGTGATTATTCCAGATTTCGTCGAATCATACGCGTTCACAATAGTTACTCATTTCATCCCTCCCAAGAAATACGCCCTAATATGGTAATATAAATAAATAGATATGTCGGTCACAATCACATTCAGTCATACAGTCATACACACACAACAAGGAGAGAAGTTCACAAGTGACACAACTGAGTGAACTGACAAACTCAGTTGTCGTGAACACCTAGTCACCTACACTGTACAGTCTGTACTCCGTAGTCTCTGCACTCTGTACACAGTTGTCTGAATTTTAAATTCTTGCTGATCCACTATCCGGGAACCAGGACTCCAGGACTGTCAGGTCACTCAGGACTGGAGTTACACTCAGGAATCAGAAGTCAGGACCAACCCCTATATTCAAAACTTCAAACACGCGTCGTTGACTCTCGTTGGTCGTTGGTGTCATTCTTGGCCCCCTGGCCCTGGGTCCTCCTGGTTGTTTTTGTTTTTGTTTTTTAAAAATATGGGCTACAGTATAAACAATTATTTTTTAAATATGTATAATTGTATATGTGTGTAAACAATGTATGATATTTAAAAATTATTTAGAAGGTTTGTGCCTATAAAAACTTTAAAAATTTAAAAAAAAACTCTCTCTACTACTCTAAGATATAAGAGTATGTAGTATCCGCTCTCCCTCTCTACTGCTCAGTGCTCTACTCTACTCTCTCTAGTCTACTCTACTCTCTCTAGTAGTAGAGAGTATGTACTTTGTAGAGAGATAAAGTCAGATTATAGTGATTGGTGCAGATGTGCAGTTGCCTTTTTTTTAAAGAAGTCTTTTTAAAAAACGTGAATTACACACCGAAAAAAAATGTTTTCGCGAAATCGGATTGCACGGTGGGATTAGGCTGGATGGAAGCCATAACTGCACTAAAAAAATCGTCCACTTTTGTAGTGGCCATATGGACCTGGGTCCTGGGGTGGCCAATATTTGATATATGGATCTGAGGGCTAGGGCGGCCAATATATGAACCTGGGGCGGCCAACTTTGACACTGCCCATGCCCACATGTCTCAAAACTGAAGATGTCTTTTGATAGTAGAAGACTGTCAAATAGAAAAGGTAACATGATACAATGCGAGATCTATCCGTATACAATGGACTATTTTTTAATTAAAGCTGTCTCCGGGGTATAATAAATAGTAAAACAGTACCTGAACTTCGAATGGCTCATTTATTATTAGCCATCTCGGCGGTGACTATTTCATATCCATTCTCAGGTACACGTCGATGAGAAATATACTTCTTTTTTACAAACTCTGCAAGCTGCAGAGTAAGACTCTTGTCATAGCAATCGAGGTAACGATAGGTACTCCTCACAAAGTGTCTGATTGTATCCAGTTTAACATTATTCAGAGCTTCGATGACATGTTTATGAAGGCCTGCTCACGTATCATCGCTCGGCCCCAATATCGCTCGATGGGTTTGTACTCTCAATTGAACTTCGGAAGAAATACGCTTATGTAATATCAATACTACTGGGCTGCTCTGAACTTAATATCAATACTACTGTGATTGCTGCACTGAACTCAAAGATAGCGTTAATGTGCGTGTCACACACATATATATATGTTTTTCGACCTGAAGAAATATTAATATCAATATTTTGCCAGTTCGACAGATCTTATAAATTGCCGGGCTTGTCGATTTCTGGCCTCAAAAGTCCAAAATTCGAACTGGAAGGGTGAATACTTAAAAAAAAACGGCCAATATTTTCCGAATCAGCCAGAATCAGGTTTTGAAACAGGTGCAATATAAAAAATGTGTCCGGGTGATATTTCAGATCATGTCTCCCTGAGCATTTTCCGCTATCAAACTCTCGAATCGGGTCATTATTTCGCGCACTGTCATTTGGTCGACTCTCTTTTTTTGTTTTAACAAGGGCAACAGTAATATTTTGACTTTTATAAAGAAATAGAGAGTTTCTAAAAAGTCACAACTCTCTATGTGATAATTTTAGGAGGCTATGTACAAGCTCTTTCATTTATAAAAGACAAATTTATATATATTTACTTGACTTCTCAGGTTCTCGAGTCTCGAATCCGGAATCTCGTTTATAATTTAAAAAAATATACATACACACAAGAAGAAGGCTATGCACAAACGTGACGAACATACCAATCCCTTTGATCTGAGCACATGCACTCACCAGAGTGACCACTGACCAGAGGTAGTCGATTGTAAAATTTTAAAACAAATAAAACGTTGCACAATTGTTATAGACCAATAAAAATAAAACTGATACTACGAAAATATCTGTCTCCTGTACAACCCTGCTTACAACTTGATATAGACCAATAGAATCCAATAGAGACTTCTTTACCATCGAAAATATCGGCCGTTTTTCAAAATGTGCGAGACTTAGATATTTAGTCTGTAGACTGGACAATGTACAGTGTTAAAAGTGTAAACTGTAAAGTGTACAATGCTGAATGCCTGCAGTCCTGCAGATGCTCTACTAAAGACACCATGTGTAGAGCCTGACAGGCTGACAGTCTGTGCCCTGTATAGTGTAGTGGGCAGACGCCAGACGGTGCGGACAGCCGGGTCACTAAATAGTAAAATGAGTGCAGGAAGTATGGAATATGCTCTTTGTAAAAATTGCCTACGCACTGGCGCCAACTGCGGCATTGAGTGGCGCGGCCATAAAAGCTATGTACTATAAATATAAATACGGCCCTGCGCCCTGCGGCCTCCGGCGAATCGGTTACATCATGGATCTATGTATTAGTGACAAGACTGACACTCAGACAGTGTGTAGTAACTGCTGTGTATGAGTATAGGGATAATATTATTTATTTCAAAAATGGCAAGTATGTATGATACAATGTATGAACATATGGTATGGCTCTCATAGTCGCTGTAGTGGTTCAGGAAAGATTGATGAGAAGAAGTGGTCAGTAAATTTCCGTTTGAAGCTTGGGCCAAGTGAGTCGACAATGGAAGATACTGAGTCAATTCGGGCCGGTGTTGACAAAATACTGTTACTATCGAATGTTCCATATATTCGCTTGCTGACCTACTAAGTAGAGTACCCAACTCTGTGGTACGGATCGGGTCTGCACCGTGTAGTGCCGCGGAATGGGTTAGTGCAGAGTACGAAATACCGAGAAGGACCAGGTTATTCGTCATAATCCGGTCGAGAAGCGAGGATGGGGGTAAGCCAATGCCGCATCAGACCACGGATGAATTCGGTATGTGTTGGCTGGCCTGGATCGGAAGTATCATCGTCGGGACCAACAAGCGCGATGATTTGGTTTGAACCGATATTTGGAAGTAGTATTTCAACAGCG